AATAAAAGTACACGATACTTAGTTAAATTTGAATTTCAGATATGCAAGGTATAATGGTTTAAGTACGAGTATGTCCCATGAAATATTTGGGACGTACTTATGCTTAAAAATTCATCACTGTGTATCTGAAATTCAAATTTTACTGGCATCTTGTAGTTTATCTGGCAACCCTACCTCTGTCCAAACTAGTTCAGGGACTTTATGAGATGCAACAGGAATAATATGTGAATTAATAAGGTCTGAAAGTGCTTTCCAGTTTGTAAAGTTCTGTCTCACCAATGAGTTTGGATTGCAGTGCTTTGATGGAAAAGGTTCTCTTGCAGGTCCAGGAGTCTCCTCTCACTGTGGAGATCCTACGTGACGAGGAGAAAGATTCAATGCTGATCACAAGTGAACACCTTTTACTCTTGGGCAGTGGATCCAAAACCAATGGCACAAGATGAAGCAGTGCATGTGAGAAAGCCGAGGGTTTTGGTTCACAGAAAACCCAAAACAGGACCCACTAGGATGTGCACAGCACATGCATCTTCTGACTGCATCATGTCTAGAAGGCTGTGCTACTCAGATTCCCCCTGAAGAACTGAAAGGGACAGGAAGGGCTGGAGTTAAGGGGCCTGGAGACCAGCGTCCTGGCAGGGATAGGAGGGATGACAGGTATTTAACTTGGAGATCTGTGGATTCAGGTGACATAAGCCATTGACTGCCCATCCAGCAGGGGTCCTGCTTTTGGAAGGTGCCACTTCCATCCAAGGTGGCGTTTTGCTTTGGTTTAGGGCCCAAAGCAGACATTCCTTTTTTGTCCAGTAGAGAAGCAGAGCATCAATAGCAGCAGCAACTGTTCAAAATGTGAAGGCTGGAGAAGCCCTTAGAATCCCCACTCTTCCCTCCTTCCATCTTCCGGAGAGGGAAGACCGGGCTGGAGAAACAACTCACCCAAAACCATGTAATGAGTTAGGGCAGAGCTAGGGTGGAACCCACACCTGCTGCTTTCCAAGTCACAGTCTGACTCACTTTAACTCATCCTCTCCTGAGATGTCCCCCTGCCTCCTCCCCGCTCCCCCCAAGCAGCCACTGTCCTCCAGGGCCAAACATCCAGAGACACTGCTGAGAAGCCTGTTTCCCACAGAGGGGAAGGTGGTTATTTAATAATAGCGATGATAATCTGCTTGGGGGCGGTACTTTATCGTTTGAAAAATACTTTCGTGTCATTTATCTCACCTTCATCGACTCCTACCCTCCTACACCCTATACTTTCTGCCCTTGTCCACCCCTTAAGGTGCAGATCTCTCCCACGGAGAGGCAGGCTGTGTCATGGTTAGAGTGTGGCCTCTGGAGCCAAACTGCACGAGACTGAAGCCTGGAGTAAGATTGTGTGGCCTTTGGCAAATCATGTGACAGAGGTTAACTGTGCCTCAGAGTTCCCACGTGAGGATTACATGAGTTAGTGTGTGCTTACAATACCTAGCACGTTGTTAGGACTTCACAAATCTCAGCTACTGCCACAACGATATTATTATTGTTGTTGTTACTTCAAAACTCTGTTCTATGGCCCAAAGCCTTTTCCATCTTCCTGTCCCTCCTTCAAAACTCAGTTCAAATTCCCCTCCCCTGGGAGAGTTCTTTGATCCTTCTTCCTGAACAGAAGTAGATGTTCTCTAACATTGACTGCACCTACTTAGATGTAGAAATTTGCCTATTTTCTGGTTTCTCCTAAGCTTTGAACTTCACCCCCTTATTTATCTGCAACATATATGTGCTGAATTGATGTTTGTTGGATGAATGAGTGATCCCATTGATGCACCAATCTGGGAATCATTCTTAATTTCTTTCCTTCCGTCACCCACACCCAATCCAAGAACAAGTCTTGACAATTCTATGTCTAAAATATATCCTCAGTCTGCCTCTAGGCCAGTCTAGGCCACCATCTTCTCACACCTGAACAACCTGGCCTTCTCACTGGTTCCCATGCTCCTGTCCTGCCGCCCTGTGATCCACCTTCATTCCCTCCCGAGAACCCTCCCTTGACATCTCATTGCTGATAGAAGAAAATCTAGCCTACTGACATGGCTCCGGAGCTCTGCATAACTAGCTCCTACCCTATCTCACACCACTCTCTCTGTCATTGGTACGCTTCCTCCGCTCTGGTCTCCTTTCCAGTTCTTCCCCTCCTCATAGTCCCACATTGGCTCTTCCTCTGGTCTTTGCAGAGCCAGCTCCTTCTTTTGATTTCAAGTTTAATGTTACATCCTCAAGGAGGCTTTCCCTGATCACCTTAAAGGAACGTCTCCCAGTTATTCTGTGTCACAACACCCTTTTAATCTCCTTTGTAACATTTACCATAATCGGTAAATACCTTGCTTGTTCACCCATTAATTTTCGAATTGATTATTCCACTCAATACATTGTAAGCACAAGTTCAGGACACACTTCTTTTCACCAGAGTATCTCCAGATCAGCTCTTAATACATTTCTGATGAATGAATGACTCCCCTAGCACAGAATGAGTAGACCAAACATGTGTGCACACTTTACAGCGGGCAAAGCTGAAGTATATAGAGGTTGACTGCTGCCTAGGTCACATAGGCTGGAAGCAGGGCACCAGGCCCACTAGATTATGGACTTTTCCCATAGGACCATTTCACCTTGAAGGGAGACAGACTCGGGGTTGGAAGCCCGCCTTAGCTGATTCATAGACTCATTATCCAACATGGAAGCAGATGGCAGACATCCCAAGGTTCTTGTCTCTAAAGAAGTAGTGCTTCTCTAGCTGGGTTGGCTCAGTGGATAGAGCGTCGCCCTGCGGACTGAAGGGTCCCAGGTTTGATTCCCGTCAATGGCACATGCCTGGGTTGCAGGCTTGATCCCTCGTGGGGGGCGCACAGGAGGCAGCCAATCAATGATTCTCATCATTGATGTTTCTATCTCTCCCTCCCTCTCCCTTTCTCTCTGAAATCAATGAAAATATCTTAAAAACAAAATAAAGAAAGAAGTAGTGCTGCCAGTATGTGGCTCCGGATTACATCCAATTACAAATTCTGGGCTGCACTTGAGGCATTGCACACACCTAATAAACACTCAACGGTCATAAGAAAAGTGCAGCGATTGTGTGAAAAAGGAAGTCAGACCCACAGGCCTGAGAGCAGGCTTGCTCTCCCAGGACCCTCTTCAGGGCTGATCTAATTTAGGCCTGATGGAATGGGAAAGATGTTGTTTCTAGTTCCCTTACACTAACGTGGCCTAATTTGGAAGATTTTGCCATTCCCGATTCCTGACTGATGCCCGAGAGCAGACTCTGATTATTGCCATCATTTAAAATACTGCCTTGGCCATTGATCAAACGCTGGCAGCAAGACACCATTTCTGTGAGTTCAGGAGGCAAATTTCTGGAGAGGGAGCCCGGTGACATGAGAATCCAGGTTGGGAAGTCAGAGGGCAGTGTGTGGCTGGGAAGACAGGCGCTTGGATTTCCAGCCAACCAACTGTAGGTCCCTTGCTGACCCTCACCTGCCTCCTCTGTAAGACATGATTTGGTTCTGATGGTGGCCCGCGAGTCAGAGGGTTTGCATCTGATGTCAGGTCTGCTGCTGATGTGTGGTGAGGACCTTGTCAAGGCCCTTTTCTTTGCGTCTTGGTTTGTCATCTGCACAAGGACAGGTTTGAACCCAGCTCTGATATTTTCTCTTTCTGTGTCTTTTCCAGAGAAACAATTTCTCCTTTAGGACTGGGTTTCCATACCCTCCAGCCCTAGGAAGCCAGCATGAAATCAGCATGGCTACTTCAAAACAGTTCAACAAAGAGCATCTTAGTCCGAAAGACCTGGGCACTTTAGGAGTCAAGTGGCCATTCCTGTCACAGCCCTAGAAGCTAGGTACACATTTCAATGACAGGTACCCACTCCAGTGAAGGAGGCTCTTCAAGAGGCATGGAAGCAGGTTGGGGAGTGGTGCTCCTCTGAGAATCTAGAAGTTCTGGGCACTGAACCCCAAGGACATAGTACTTTCCTGGCCTTGTGAGGAGACGAGGTTCAGGAAAATCAGACATGTCCCAATGTCTTTTGAGCATTTACTTGGGGCAGGCTTTGGCTCAACATTTTATATACATTGTTTTGTTTGAACTTGAGTCCTATGAGATAGATATTATGACCTTCATTATGCAGAGGAGACAGGAAGTAGAGACACAAAGCTAAAGTGACTTGTCCAAGGTTATACAGCTAGAAAGACCAGGATTGAGCACAGTACTCTATTATTAAACTCCTAATAAGAATAACAATAAAAATAATCAAAGTTGCAGAAGTTTAGCTTGGCTGGTGTATCTCAGTGGTCGAGCGTCAACCCTTGAACCAGGAGTTCATGGTTTGATTCCTGGTCAGGACACATGCCTGGGGTTGCAGGCTTGATCCCCAGTGAGGGGCGTGCAGGAGTCAGCTGATCAATGATTCTCTCTCATCATTGATGTTTCTATCCCTTACTCCCTCTCCCTCTCTTTGAAATCAATAAAAACATAAAAGATAAAAGAAAAAGAAAAAATAAGACCACAAGTGAAGACTGGTCTTATTGAATTAAAAAAAAAAAGTTGAAGAAGTTCAGTAAGCAGTTGTGGACATTACTCTGGACTTGAGGTCTAAATAAATGGCTATGAATTCTAGTCCTTTCATTGATAGTTTGGTGACCTTGGGCAAATCATTGGACTTATTTGAGTGGCAGTGTGTTAACATATAAAGTGGAGGCAATAACTCCTTCTACTTCATAATATAAGAGTAAAGGAATAATGTGCGTGAATTCTTTAGCATTGGTGCCTGGCATATAACAAGTGCTCAGTAAATGTTAGTCATGATTATTGTTATTACTACCTTCCCCCCAGAGTGGTTGCAAAGCTTAGCTGAGGTAATGGTTGGGAAACCTCCGTGTCTTTTGCACCTGTCAGTAAGTCCCCTTTCTTACAATTATAGCAACCTAAGGGAAAGAGTTATTTGTGAAGCTCTGGCTTCATTCCTCCCCGCAATGGTTCAAATTCTTTGCTTTGCAGCCAACACTGATGACGAGCAAGGGTTTGACTGGGTGCCCACTGTGAATGACGTCCTGCAGCAGATCTCCAAGAACCGCAGCAAATGCTTTTCTGAGCTTATTTTTAGACCAGAAGGTCTCTGAAGGAGGATTTCAATATTTAGCTTCATTGTATGGGGAAGGCGATTTGCAATTAATGTGAATTTATGACTTAAGGCTTTCTCCTCCTCATCATCTTAAAAAGATACCATGGAGGTAGATCAAGTATGTGGTTGGCAGACTTACGTCCAGACCTAAATGAGTTCTATTGTTGGTTATTCCTGATTCTTGAAACAATACGTAGTCATCCTAAAAAAATTTGGAAAATGCAAACAAACAAGTATGAAGGGGAAAAAAATGTAAATGCCCATAAATGCAATCATTCAGAGACAAGATTGTTAATGTTTTGGTGTATTTTCTTTTGGTCTTCTACTTAATATATATATTCACACATTGTTTTACATAATTGGGATCATAGTATAAGCCTATTTTTAAATAAAACTATATTTTTAGAGTAGTTTTATGTTCACAGCAAAAAGTGAGAGGAAGGTACATATACCCCCTGCCCCCACACATACATAGCCTTACTCATCATCAACATCCTCACCAGAGAATAGATTTGTTACAATTAATGAACCATATTGAAACATCATATTCACCCAAAGTCGATAGTGTACATTATTGTCCACTCTTGGAGTTGTACATTCTGTGGGTTTAGATGAATGTATAATACACATATCCATCATTATAATACTAGTGCTCTGGTGCACGGATTCGTGCACTTTGAAAGGAAATTAATTAGAAGGTGGCCAGGGGGGCAGGACTGGGCGAGACGGGCCAGACACACCTGAGAGCCAACCTCCTGCAGTCCCTCCCCGGCTGGCTGCACCTGGGGTGGTGCCATGGCTCAAAGGGCATCTGCGGAGTGAGCAGGTCCCTCCAGCAGGTGGGGTCCCTCGGCCTGGACTGCGGGGATCGGGCCAAAACCAGCTCTCCAACATCCCCTGAGGGGTCCCAGATTGTGAGAGAATGGTTCTCAGGTGACGCATCCCGGAATTGGGCTTCTTCCTCTCTGGTTCCGGGGTGTATCACCCAAGAACCACCGCTGCCAAGTCACTGCAGCTCCGCAGCTCCTGCGTTGAGTATCTGCCCCCTGGTGGTCAGTGCATGTCATACCTACTGGCTGGTTGGATGGTCGTTTAGCCTTATTCAGAGTATTTTAACTGCCCTAAAATTCCTGTATCCCACCTATTCATCCCTCTCTTCTCCCTCCCACAAAAACTGACAACCACTGATCTTTTTATTGTCTCCATAGTTTTGCCTTTTCCAGAATGCCATATAATTGGAATCATACAGTATGCAGCCTTCTCAAATTGGCTTCTTTCACTCAGTAATATACATTTAAGACCCTTCATGTCTTTTCATGGCTTGATAGCTAATTGTTTTGTGTTTTTTTTTAAAATACATTTTATTGATTTTTTACAGAGAAGAAGGGAGAGGGATAGAGAGTTAGAAACATCGATGAGAGAGAAACATTGATCAGTTGCCTCCTGCACACCCCCTACTGGGAATGTGCCCGCAACCAGGGGACATGCCCTTGACCAGAATCGACCTGGGACCCTTCAGTCCGCAAGCCGATGCTCTATCCACTGAGCTAAACCGGTTAGGGCGAGCTAATTGTTTTTTAAATATATTTTTATTTATTTTAGAGAGAGGAAGGGAGAGGGATAGAGAGATAGAAACATCAATCAGCTGCCTCCCACACCCCTGATCCCTGCCACCTGGGCATGTGCCCTGCCCGACCAGGAAACAAACCGTGACCTCCTGGTTCATGGGCTGACCCTCAACCACTGAGCCACAATGGCCAGGCCAGCTAATTTTTTTTATTATTGAATAATATTCTGTTGTCTGGATGTGTCACAGTTTATTTATCCATTCACCTACTAATAGACATCATGACTGCTTCCAAGTTTTGGCAATTATGAATAAAGTTGCTATAAGCATCTGTGTGCAGGTTTTGACGTGCACATACATTTTTAGCTCCTTTGGGCAAGTACCAAGGAGTATAACTGCTGGATCATAGGGTGAGTCTTCCCAAGTAGCTGTGGCATTTTGCCTTTCCACAAGTTATAAATAAGAGTTCATGTTGCTCTACATATTGGTCCTCCTTGGGTGCTGTGTGTCCAGATTTTGATCATTAAAAGAGGTGTATAGCGTAACCCATTTTTTCACAAAGAGTTCCCTTCATGAGTATCATTTTTTATAGACGTATATGAATCCAACCTAGGGAGTCCCTAGGCCACAAAGTATTTAACCTAGTCCTTATTATCAGTTTCGATTTTTTTCTAATATTCACTATTATCAATAACACTTTGATGAACGTTTTTGTACGTAAATCTTTATTTACGTCTGCTTATTTATTTTCCTTGGATATATTCTTACAAGTGGAAGTGAGTCAAAAGAGTACAAGCATTTTTCAGGACCCACGGTAGAAGCATGGATGATCCCTGGGTGAGGCACAGAGCTGGCCTGAATCACTTCGGCAAGGTCTTCTAGTCTGGGAAGGTTCTATCGCTTTACATTCCTATCAACAGCGTGAGGCACTCCCTTGCCAGCAACAAGTATTACCAGTTGTTTTAAATGTTTCCCAAACTAGTAGGTTAAACAATGATAACTTGTTGTCTCAATCTGCAAATCTTTGATTACTTAAGTTTAATGTACAGTACAGGTATTTCATGCTTCTTAGCCACTTGTATTTCCCTGTGAGTTGTCTGTGTCCTTTTCCAGGCAGACTTTGTTAATAGTGGCTCTAATAATCCTAACGTTGATGCCAAACCTTGCATTTAGCCACATCTGATATGTGGCTGGCCTCCGGCAGGATTAGAAATAGTCCGTGTCAGCACTGCTGTCTCAATGAAACCAGAAGGGGCAAAGTTTTCGTGTTTTACTGGAATCTGGGAGATGAAGTTATTTTGCTGAGCCACATCTATTATATTATTATGCCTTCTTTTCTTACTCCCCAACGCTTCTCTTTTCTTCCATTCTGCTCTAGCAGGAGAGCTCGGTTTGGTGTGCATGGACACTATCTTTCAGTATGTGTTCATCAACCCCCTACTATGTGCTGCACAGTGGCCACATTAAAGGACTGTGGGGTCTAGAGAAGAGCCTGGGCTTTGGAGTCGGACAGATCTTGGGCAAGTCCCTTATTGACCTTTCAGAAGCTCAGTTTCCTTTTCTTTTAAGTACCGGTGATTGCCTTCCCTTTGGGGAATAAATGCTTTACGAATGCAAAACTCCTGGAACAGTGTCTGTCCCATTATACAATTCCATTTAGCTCTATAAACACTCCTTGAGCCACTTCTGTGTGTTTGACACTGTGCTCGGTGCTGAGCGTACAAGGAGGAATCAGATGGGGCCCTTTGCCTTACAGGAGAAAGGCCAGGCTGCTCATGGACTCAGACAAGGCCCTCCCTGACCCCTGCTGTTCTGTGGCCCCCTCATTAAGTCCTGGGCCCACGGGTCATGGGTAGGTTGACAGCTCTCTTTAGAGCCCTGAGCCTTGGCTGCAATTCTGGAGCAACAGAAAGTGCCAGTCAACATTTAGTTACACAGAGTCACGACTATAATTTTTATTTTCTCTTTTCTTCTTAACATCATATCATAAGCATTTTTCCTTTATAGCGCAGTTGTTAAGGGAACCACTAGAGCCAGCCATCCTTACTAAGTGAGCGTGGGCAAGTGGCTTAATCTTTCTGTGCCCTAGTTTCCCTATCTGTGAAATTGGGATAATAACAGTATCTACTTCCTGGGGGTTTTCTTAGAATTCAACAAAATATTTCATGTGTATCTCTTAGTATAATGTCTAGCCCCTAGTCAGAGATCAGTGATCTAGTATTACTAGTTGTTATATGGTCTTCTTAGCCACTCTTACAATGACTTTATATGATTAAATTGAAGATACAATACTTTTTTTCTGATGTTGGATACTTAAGGTGTTTCTGATTTTAAAACACAGAGTAAAGTATTATCCCTAAGAAAATTGTTAAAAATCATCTTACGGTTTAGAGTTAAAGGCAGAGCAATAAATTTAAGAGTTAAATGTTGAATGAGTAACATTAATACACTTAAGTTGCCTTTCAAAAGAATTTAATATCTCTGCACATATTACACGGTAATTAACTCATGGTAGAAGCATGGATGATCCCTGTGTGAGGCCCAGAGCTGGCCCGGATCACTTCGGCAAGGTCTTCTAGTCTTTCTCCAGGCAAGGAAGCTGCATCAGCAATTCTCTCCTTCTGCCAGAGAATCTTGGAGGTAGCACAGCTGAAGGTCAACCCAGCATTTTCAGCTATTGCTTGGGACTACCTGGTAGGGCACCTGTCAAGCCACGTCTCCTGATGGGGAAGTTACGGGACAGAGGTTCTGCTGTGGTTCTTCAGCCAGCAAGGCTCACAGTCAGCACTGGTACACATAAAAGACGAACCTACACGGGTCTAGCATCTTCCATGTGCCAGGCTCTGTAAAAACATTCTCTCAGCTAAGTAAGACAGAATTGATCGGTCCCATTTTAGAGATGAGGAAACTGAGAGGTGCAAAAAGGTGCAAAGTTTCTTCTAAGGTTGCACAGCTGGCAGTCATGACCCAGATCTGTCTGACTCTAAAGATACAAGCTCTTCCCATAGCACATGGATTACTTTTCAGTTTAATTCAATTTAACCAGCATGGATTAACACTCACATGTATGTATTACCCCTGCGTGTGTGAGAGCAGAGAGAGAGTAACCCAATGACAGAGACAGACGTAAGTCGAAAGTTCTAGTAGTTTTAGTAGTAGGCAGATGCATGCCTGGGAGAAGTAATAAAGCTGTGTGGGAAGTTCAATTTATCTTGTGTATATTTCTGAAAGCCATCCTTAATCCTTTTAGGAAGAGGCAGGGGAGAGATAGATTGATGGACCAGGGTTGTAATCAATGAATAAACAAAGGACAGTGGGAAAATAGGGATGGAGAAACTAATTCTCACTCAGAGAACCACAAAATCTTAGAGGATATGGTACTTTGGTTGAGGTTTGAGGGAGAGGAAGAATCAGCCAGAGAAT